GAACATGACGACATTTTTGTTTTTGTGAAACGTGTATTTAGAAGATATTGTTTCTTGATATAAAGCTTTTTATTCAACGGTAAACTGCGAGTTGCGTAAGTAGTTTTGAAGAGGTCAGAAGCTGATCGCGAAGCCGTAGGAAATTCCAATGTTCGCACCCAATAACACGTAATCGAATTAAAGCTATTTTATGCCTAGTACCTATGTATAGATAATCCGGCAAGGTTCTATTCAGTTGCTGCGTTCGACACGCCCAGCTGTTTCTTTGTTAGAGAAGCTACGCTTACTGACGATCGCTGCATACTTGTATTCACAGGTTAATTGATAGTAAATTAAGGAACTTCACCGATGAACTCAATCTCATTCGCCAGATCGTAAATCATGAATAGCATCTTAATATTTTTAAAGTTTGTCCAATTCACAGAGTAGAAATGTTTAAATCGTAAAAGTACACGAAATGAATCGAGAGGAATTAGTTTTAGACTAAAGAAAAATCATGATAAGATTAATTTCTGTTCATGTTACAATTTTTACTCAGTGACTTGAGACTGTATATAAAATTATAGAAATAAAGACAGTGAGTAGAAATTGTGAAGAAGAGAAATTGGGACGTTTACTATACACACACAATCGTGTAAATCGTATCTTACCGAAACGTCCTTCCTAAGAATTTTTCCTTCAAGGACAGAGGACCGAGTGAAAGCTGCCTTTGTACATGAAAGTTCAAATCTTTTATCCTCAAACATTTAAAGATATCAAGAAAATCCAAACCTGTAACAATAATTTATTGACAAATCTGCCAAAGTTTTGAAATATGTGAACAATTCCAAGAATTTGAAGCAAGTGTAACTATTCTTGAACCACAGAAATCCGAAATCTCCATTCCCGTCCCGAAATCAAGAATTCCCTCCAAGAAAGAAAAGGACACAAAAAAAAAAAGAAAAGGAACTAGTCTAGACGCATTCCAGAGAGGCTCCTTTTATCGGGGCGCCTCGAATTCACACTTTCCTGTCCCCGGAGGCAAGAAGAAGAAATCCAAGCGTCGAAGAGCGCGACAGGACAGCGCGAAGGGGGAAAAACAAAATCGAAAGCGGAGCGTGTCAGTCCGCGAGTTTCGCACGCAGCGCGCTGGCGGCCGTGGATCCGGAAGTCGTCGGACGGCGTAGGTGGTTCCAAGGGGAGCAAAGAGGGGTTTCCGCGCTGTATAATAATTAATAACCGGTCTCTGAGTGGTTCTCACAGGCTCCGCCTTTTACCCCCTGATTTATGAACCGCGCCGCCTTCGTTGTCATAACCGAGTGTACAACTGTGTGCCACCTGGTGGGGATATTAAACCTTTGGTGGGGGTAGATCGCAACCTAGGTGGGGGTGAATCTGGTCCTCGGTGGGGGTAAGGGATGACGCATGATGTTGCGCGACGATACCTACGCCCAGGCCGGCTCTTTACCAAGCGATCAGTCGGTTCTCGTCCTTGCCGGATGACACCGGCGGTCGTCGACGCGGACGTCCGGTCCCGAAAACGCAGCGTAGCTTCCACGCGTCGTCGGAAGTCAGCGCTTATCGTTAGCGACCCGCGCGAGCAATGCAACTGATGAGATGGAGCATCACGCGTCGCCTCGAGTGCCGCGGGAGCAAGCAGGCCACTTGCAGACCCTCTAAGCCGCTCTCGTTCCAACAATCTTCCGGTACGCACCGTCGCTGACCTTGAAAATACGCTTGTGACGCCTCCACCATGGGATTCTCTCTCCGATGCCGAGAGCGTCGTGAGAAGTTTCGTAGTTAAGCTCTTCGGCTGTCGGGGAACAGTGGATCAGTGGCGAGTGAAAACGTTGTAACTGGTGCGGTTCGAACGGGTCTCGCCGGCCCGCCGGGAATAGTAATTACGCGATTTCCATTTTTCATTGGCCCCGGTGCGCGTATTAAAAGTTTCCAAGCGGTACGGGTTTCACGCGCCGCACCACGGAATACTAATCGGTCTTTATCGTTGACACGAATGCACCCGCGCGCTCTTCTGCGGGATCTTCGTTGCGTACTATTCGACACTGTTTTTTTTAATGCGTTCACCAGCTGCGCAGGTATGCTTCGTCGCGGCGATGCAAAAGCGTGGAGTGTCGACGATCGTGGACCTCAATGAAATTATCGTCACCGTTCGTTTCGGTGAGCCTCGATGGTAATAAAATCGGAGTGGCCCACGATTAGCGATTCTGCATCGGTTTCAACGCGACACTGTACATTTTAAGTATTATTCCTCGACCTGTCAGCCGTCCGGCCTGTTCCAGCCTTGGCGACCGTCTTTCGTCGTGAGGCGAATCTTTATTATCAGGTTGCCCGGAAAGTTCGTTCCGATTTTCAATGGGTAGATTAGGATAGCTCTCAATCACTAAAAATTACATATTTATGTATTCATCTTCGACAGCTTCTGGAGTGCAATCATTCTTCATTTATTAGTGAGATCATCTCATTTAGGGAGTGAAGTCAATTGTTGTCGTTTAGGAGTCATCAAACTCTTTATTTGTACTTCGCATACTTTTACTCTGATCAATCTTTCAATGGATGCATTTTCATATGAGAATAATGAAACACCTTACCTATTCTTAGCCTAATAATACCTTATCCACCTTGGATATTATCATCAATAACGAAGATCGAGACGAATATCATATCAACTGTCTGACGAAAATGCTGTTCATTTGGACACAGCCTCGAATCGTCCAAATTATTTTTTCGTAGGGAACTGTATGTAATATGAATAAAATAACACAGATGAATACACATAATTTAGACATGTAAAATGATGGAATGTAGAATTGTCGTAAATTCTTCCTGTTTGATTTATCGCGAGGGATCAACTAACTGTGACTGAATACTTGAGGCTATTCATGTGAAAGCCAGAAGCCTGTTATATTCCCAACAACAACGTATTTTTCAAACGCGTACATCAATATAAATTAATGTCATCCACTGATTTATAATGCAAACGGATCTAACTAGTAAGCAAGGAATTTTAACAAAATTCCTTTCTTTAACATAAGCTCATATGCATATATCAATTTTCACCCGAGGCTATTCAAGTAAACAACTCTGTACGTATTGATCTCTGATACAAATACGTTCTTTCTGCTTCATTATTTTATATGCATGGAACGATCTACAAATAGAAATTTATTCGATAATATGCAACGTCAATATCATTTATTTTCAATTAAATTGTTTTACAAAAATGATTTGAAAATGTCAATTAGGATTTAAAAATCTTCAGTTAAATGCATTTTGCTGCATCGTCTACGTCTACGCGATTAACTATTTGAAATTCATAGAACGCGTATTACCCATATGAAACGAGCCACGCTTTTTATTCATCTTTTTCATCATTAGTACGATACGTGCAAACGATATAAACGTTGAATACAAATGAAACTGGCATGGCTTCCTCGTGTAGTTGCTCCGTCCATGCAGGAAGCAGGGGGTACAGCTTGAACAGGCTTCTACAATACGCGTGTCTATGTCCCGTGATCAATGATAGGAAAAAAATTGTATAATTTAATAAGCTTCGTTGTCAGTCTTCACTCGCCTATTCTGTGCATTATAAACAATGAATACTATGAAATTCTCTTTAAATCACTTATCTTCGTGGAGAAGCTAGAATTTTCTTAATGATTAAGACGAATACGTGTCTAGGAATTATTTAAATTAAGAGCATTTTCATACAATGAAATTTGTATGATGATCGTTCGATTTATGATATTCAGATATTCAAAAGAATATTTGTATTCAAGTATTCATATATTCAAAATGTATTCAGAATATTTAAAATACTTACATTGAAATATTCAAAGATACGTTCATGAAATGTTCACGTAAAGTCTGATTATAAAAATAACAATCGAACAGAATTCAGAATTGTAACACGGTAATAATTTAAGATTGTTTGAGTTCTTAGGTATTACGTTAATAAAACACTGTGCAAGAGTTTATAAATATACATCAAGAATTGTTCGTGAGTTCAAAAGACACTTTCGAACAATTTTATAAACCTTCCTTTTTTCTAAAATTTTATTGCTTCCAATACTGGATATCTTTTTTTATTACACTTCTTAAACTTTTGACAGAGGGCTTATGTCTTGTACAATCTTATCGCCTTAAGTGCCACGATATATTTAAATTTAATATCGATAACGAAGACTGCCTACTAACTGTCTCGATACCAACATGTGTTACAGGAGAGGAAAATGATTTCACATCAGACGGGGAAGAGAGTGGCGGCGGAGGAGCTGGCGGCGACGAAGCCGTGGACCTTACAGCGTCCAGGTCCCATCAGGGCGACGAGGACGACAAAGATCAGGAAGACGCTCTGGAGGAGGATGAAGAGGAAGGCGTGGACGAGCAGGAGGAACAAGAGGACGACGAGGAAGGATCGCGAAAGCAAATGCGTCATAGACAAGACGCGGAGAACAACAATAATTTTGTCGAAGGCGGCACAACGGCCGGTTTGTTCCCGCCAGCCGGAACTAGTCACGTCACCCTGGAAGCGCTCCAGAATACAAAGGTTGCGGTCGCCCAGTTCGCGGCAACCGCGTTGGCCGGTGGCGCGGACAGCGAGGCAGCTCTCCAAGACCTGGCGTTGTTGCAAAGCACCCTGTACACTCTGCAACATCAGCAAGTGTTTCAGCTGCAGTTGATCAGTCAGCTTCAGCAGCAGCTGTCCATCACGCACAGTCAGGCGTCGCTGCAGCAGCAAGTACCGGGCGATGCAACGGACACCAAGGAAATCTCTCCGTCTCCTATCATCCAGCCAAAACCTCTGTCGAGCCTGACGTCGCCACCTTCTTCGCGTCCACCAAGTCACCAGCAAACCTCGCCAGCTCCTATGACGCCTAATTTGACTCAAGAAAGGCCCACGCCAGCCAGCAGCGCCTCGCCACTGAGCCTACCACTTGCCTCGTCGAATGCGACCGGCACGACCGCGACCACCAGCAGCGGTAGCCAGGTGCCGATGTCCCATCAAATACCGCCACACTGCTCGATCAGTTCTTCCTTAGCCTCGTCTATAATCACGAACACCGATCCGCCGCCGCTGCACGAGCCCAACACCCTTGAGATGCTGCAGAAGAGAGCCCAGGAGGTGTTGGACAACGCCAGCCAGGGGCTGTTGGCGAACAACCTCGCCGACGAGCTGGCGTTCAGAGGCGGGAAGGGCTCCCGGCTCTCACCGTACGATTCAAAGTCCGGCAGCGGCCGCGGCGAACCATTCTTCAAGCACCGGTGCCGCTACTGCGGCAAGGTGTTCGGCAGCGATTCGGCGCTTCAGATCCACATACGATCGCACACAGGTGAGCGACCCTTTAAATGCAACGTCTGCGGCAGCCGCTTCACCACGAAAGGGAACCTGAAGGTCCACTTCCAGAGGCATACGGCCAAGTTTCCACACGTAAAGATGAACCCGAATCCCGTTCCGGAACACCTGGACAAGTACCATCCACCCTTGCTACAGCAAATCGCCCACGGTCAGAGACCGATGCCGTCCCCGCCGCCGCCGCCGCCCTCGCATCATCCCACCTTTCACCCGGCGGCGGCACACGGTTTTCTACCTCCTCAGCCGCCCCTGCCGCTCAGTTTAGCCCTTCCCGGTATGCCGCCCTTGTACAGATCGCCGGTCGTCGCTCATCGGGACGATCAGGACGTGCCGGAGAATCTGAGCAAACCCGTTACCACTGCCCCGACGACTACATCCCCACATTCCCCCGCGATTGTGTCGAACTCTCGTCATTCCTTTCACGACAATCAACACCACCACCACCACCACCAACAACAACAACAGCAGCAGCAGCAACAGCAGCAGCAACAAAAGCAGCAGCTCGAGCAGAGGGACGAGATCAAACTCGAGCAGCGGTCACCGATGCAGGAGCAGTATCAGCAACATCAGCGGCCGACGAGCCGAGAAGCGACTGGCACGATAACGCCGAAAAAGGAACCCGAGGAAGCCGAGGAGCCTACGGAGGAGGAGAGCGAAGACTTCGAGGAGACGACCAGACGGTATTTAAACTCACCCCAATCCTCCGCGAATCCACCCTCGCAACCGCAGACGTATGAGGACTGTAGTATGGATAGCAAAATCAGCGGACGACTCGAAGGAGACGGCGACATGGAGGTCGACGAGGAGATCGAGGAGCAGCCCGAGAATCTGTCCGGCCGCGGTAACGTCAATCGTTTGCCGCAGCATATCGTCGCGTACCCTGGAGCCTCTCCTGCGAGTAGTAGCGCGAGCAGCGGAAGCCTTCAAACATCGTTCGCTGGGATTCTGTTCCCAGGACCGCCTGGCCATCATCAAATACCGCAGCATCACGCTGCTCCGACGGCGGTGAACGCGCCCGCGGTATCGACCGCTGAGATGATCGATCCCGCCAAAGATCCGGCCATCTATTCCAGCCTGTTGCCACGGCCGGGCAGCAACGATAATTCCTGGGAGAGTTTGATCGAGATCACGAAAACCTCGGAGACCTCGAAGCTGCAGCAGCTGGTTGACAACATCGAGCACAAACTGACCGATCCGAATCAGTGCGTGATTTGTCACAGGGTACTGTCGTGCAAAAGCGCGCTGCAGATGCACTACAGGACGCACACAGGCGAGCGACCGTTCAAGTGCAAGATCTGCGGTCGGGCGTTCACCACGAAGGGTAACCTGAAGACTCACATGGGCGTGCACAGGGCGAAACCGCCGCTGAGGGTACTGCATCAATGTCCGGTATGCCACAAGAAATTCACGAACGCGCTGGTGTTGCAGCAGCACATACGCTTGCACACCGGCGAGCCGACGGAACTCAGCCCGGAACAAATCCAAGCCGGCGAAGTTAACGAATTCGCGCCCGGTTACCCGCCTCATCCACTCGCCTCGTTTCTCCCACAAGGCTTTCCACCGATCCATCCAGCTGGAGCTGGCTTCCCGTTAGGCTTTCCTGCCACGCGACATCAGACGTTAGAAAAACAGCCTCAGGAGAACGACGTCGACGTGAAGGAAGAACCTCAACAGCAGCAACATCAGCAGCAACAACAGCAGCAGCAGAGGTACGGGGAGGAACACGACGAGGAGGCGGACGAGCAAGATGACGAGGAAGAGGACCGTAGGGAGGACGACGATAGGTGCGACATGAACCGCGAGTTGGGTCGCGGTGACGTGGAGGATGAACAGGACCGCGAGAGCGAGGAGAACGAGCATAAGGATGGTTCCTTACAAAACTTCTCGACTTCGCTCGCCGCTCTCGAGAATCAGGTACGAACGATCACGACGACGGCCGCGTCGACGCTAGGAAATGCCGCCAGGTCGCCGCCCTTTCATCGTTACAACGGCAGCGAGAAGAGCAACAGTCCGCCGAATCCTGGGGCGCCGTTAGATTTGACTCCTCGGGCGTCGTCCACTCCAGCTTCCGTGGCGTCGGTACCGACGCCGCCCCCGCAGCCCGTTACGCACCATCCGCACCCGTTCGGCATGTTCGCAGGCCTGCTGCAAGCGGCCTCGTCGTCGCCGTCGACCAGCAGCATCGGATCATCGAGCATAAACAGCATCAGCTCGATGAACGCCGTGACGCCAGGAAGCGGCGCGGCCGGGCCACTGGCTTCGCTGACCACGTCGGCTGTGTTGGCCGCCACCTCGACCTACAATCCGCTCGGCCTGGCTGTCGGAGGGCCAGCAGGTAGGCGCTGCTAGCATCAGGGCGAGCTGCAGTTCCTGCTACACCTCCCGATCGATCTGACACGATTCACTGATCCCGACCGCCAAGTCTGATTCTAATTCGTCCGCCTATATCCAACGCTGTATACATAATCGACTCGTAAAATCCTGTTTCTGGTGTAGCCGGACCTAGCACTCCCACCCTTCCGCTTGTCTCTTTTTTTATTATATCTGCAATGTTTTTTAAACGACCTCTTTCTCGGTATTACTGTGCTATGTGTACCTCTGTCATTATTTCTCTCACCGTCTTTCTCTCTCTCTCTCTCTCTCTCTCTCTTTCTCTCTGTCTCTTTGTTTCTTCGACTGTCTATCTGTCACTTTATCTCTCTCGACTCGAGCCACTATTTTATATAGAGCATTTAGAAGTAAAGAACTTTGCGTGCACAGTTATCAGTTTTGTATTTCTCTTTTGCGCAACAAGAGAATCGAAACTATGGATATTTAATAAAAATACGAATAAATAAATTTCTTTGCAAAACAGATTGCTGTCTGTACGATTCATTTCACTTCCTTCCGAAAAAAAAAAAAAGAAAACAAACTAAAAATCCGACGTTCCGCGCGATTCTTTAAACGCGAGCCCAGCCACGTGGATAACGATCGAGCTTCGTGTTCATTCCGGAGGCGAGCCAGCGAACGAACGGTCGCGAGGCGTCCGCGTGCTTTTGACGATTAGATTAGCGTTCGCGACGGAGTATGTAGTTTCACGGTAGCCGAATACCGGCGTTTACAAATTGCTCTCGCTCCCGGGACGGTAGACGCGGTGGAAAATTGTCGGTAGGCGAATGTAAAGGAATACGATCTGTTACAGTGCGTGGAAACACCACATGTAATATCTGCTACAAGACATTCGCGTGCAACTCCGCGCTGGAGATCCATTACCGGAGCCATACGAAGGAGCGGCCGTTCAAATGCACCATATGCGACAGAGGCTTTTCCACCAAGGTAACGCAATTTCCCGTCACCCGCAGTGGCTCCCTCCCCGTTTATGTTTTTCCTCTTCGTTCAAATGGATCGGGATGATCGAATTCGAGACACGTTCGTTCCTAAAATTGTTTGCTGCTCACCGAATTAAATCCGAGACTGATTTCTTCCAGCGTCTAGAATCATTCATTATTAACTTTCGTCGCGGTAGCAGAAATGTTAAGTAAATTTTCGATGAAATTATACGAATACGGTTTAAGGGTTGCAATTATACAATCAATAACGAATTCTCAATTTTCTCTACACCGCCTTTGCGGTTTTCTTAAAAATTAAATCGCAGTTTTAATTATAGTGCAATCTGAGAGAATCAATGCTATGTCAAATGTGGAATTAATTCAATCTTAATATAAATCTTTAATGATAGAGATTTATTATAAATTCCAATGACTTCACGTAACTATATTCGTTATCTATTTAAGTAAAAATTATAGGCAGTCATTAAAGTTTTTTCAGTTCAAAAATGCATTCCATCGATATTTCGAAAATATCACAAATTAAGAATTTTCCAATACAAAATATATTATAGTTAATAGGTAATTTATAATAATTAATCTTAGTCCTTCTGTTAAAATAAAATTGATATAAAGTCTGATTCTAACTGAGTGAAAGCAAAGCGAGTCGTAGAAAAACGGTCCTGTCTACATGAATCATTGCCAAGAATCGACGATCACCAAGCCTGACACGGCCCGGTTCGGTCCGCTATATATCTTTGTTTGTTTCTACGAATAATTTCAGAACGACGGTTCCGGGCAGCAAGCATGCGTCTGTGCGTCTCAACCGTTGCCCGCAAACAGTTCGATCACTTCACCCGATCGTTCGCAATACGGGTCATCGTGCGCCGATAGTCGAGAAAAAGCGAAACGCAGGCGGCGGCGGCGACCCGAGGAGCGGAAGAGCCGGGGGCGGAAAGGAGCCGGAGGGGGGCGGGGGCTGACGCCTGTCTACCCTGCCATCCGCCTACCCCCGCTGATGTCGCCCGCCCTCGGACTTCTACCCTCGGCGCACGGCCTCCTGGTAAGAGCCTGCCTGGCATTTTGACAATGAGAACAAACAACTATGATAACATCACTGTGTATTTCCGCTCTTTGCCTAATCCCACACATAATAGAATTATAGCGACCCGTGGTAATATCTCGTCCTCTCGTTTCGTTCAGGCTTACTCAGCCCGCGACCGACCTAGGCGTATAAATCTTACAAGATAAGCTTCCTCGTTAATAAAATTCTTCTAATCGTTGTTACCAAGGTGATCTACCTACGTTGTAGTTAGGCGTGTATTAACACTAATTATTCGCGTTATTATGCAGAGTGATGCGATCGATGAAGTGATTGAACTAGAGATCAGCCGAATGCGTGATAATGGAACGAGGTGTCGTTTTCTGTCCCACAGGGGAACATGAAGCAGCACATGCTGACACACAAGATCCGCGACATGCCGCCGCATCTGTTCAGCGATTCGAAGCAGCAGCAACAGTCGCAGGAGCTCGAGACTTCGAGAAGTCCGATGTGCGTGGACGACTCGAGTCTGCCACCTCCGCCGCCGCCACCGCCGCCTCCGCCACCGATGCCGCCGACCTCGATAGAGCAGAGCATCGCCGTGAAGAGGTCACCGCCCGAGGGCGAGCTGCCAGCGCCAAAGAGACCAGCCAGTAAGTAGAACCTCGAGTTGAACACCGGAAGTTGAAAGGCGCCTGTTCGGTCTGCTTCTTCATCGAGCACGATTCGAACGGTCCAAGGGGCTTCGCTTCGCAGGTTGAACTGTTTTCACGCTAAATAAAAGATCGCTGCCCTCGGTTCCTCCGATCGAGAACGCGAACAGTACACATAGGTATATCGTATGGAATCTAGCTTCTCGCTTATTCGCACTTTTGCCTGTGCTTCGCTGTTCCGTATTCTGCACGCTCTTTCTACTTGGCGCGCAACGTCCCTGGTGGCAGGTTCGCTCCTACTTTCAACCCTTTCGTATGTCTCGTCCGAGGATGGTAACGGGTCTCCGTCAGCCCACGAAAACCGACCACAGTTCTTCCCCCCCAAATTTTTTTTCCCGTCTCAGGAACGAAAAGCTTGAGAACGCTCGCCAAACTTGTGTGTCAGGGTCTTGTTCAGCGAAACTCTGTGTGTGTATTTGCAGGCGTGCCGAGCAAACACTTGTGCCAGATATGCAATAAGAATTTCTCCTCATCTTCGGCGCTCCAGATCCATATGAGAACCCACACGGGCGACAAACCGTTCCGATGCACCGTCTGTCAGAAGGCCTTCACCACCAAGGGCAATCTCAAGGTATACACATGATTTTTCCTCTTTTTCTCTGTCCGTCTCTCTCCTCCGTACTCTGTCTCCCCCCTTGTATCTACTCCTTCATCCCGCAATCGTGTCCGGATATTTTGAGTTTACTCACTAACACCGGCTAGCTGCTATCGCTTGTACTAACGCTGTCTAACGCGTAACGTACAAAGGAAGAAAAAGAAAAAAGAACGCGAGCTCGATGAAAGATCAGCGCCACTGTTACGAAAGTTTCCGACACCTACGTTGACCGGTACCGTACGGTACTTCTGATCGCAGGTGCACATGGGCACCCATATGTGGACCAACGGAGCCTCTCGGCGAGGTCGTCGAATGTCCCTGGACTTGCCACCCCTGCCCATCACCCCCAAGGACTCGGAGTTTCTCCAGCGACGGCCGGATCTCTTCTACCCGTATCTACCCGCGCCATTCCTTAACGGTGTGCAACAGAAAGTAAGTAACAATAAAATAATCTAGACAGAATCCTAAAATAATCATAAATTCCAGAGTTCATATAAAAGTACAATTCTATGGTCAATAGTATTAGTGTCCTTAATTAGATCTTGGAAAGAAATACAGTCGCGTTAATCCAGCATTGGGAAGACGAAGTAGTTAGAAAGAGAATGTATCCGATGCGATTAACGATAATCTTTCTCCTTTCGTTTTTGTAGGTATTTGCCCCCGAATAAACTTAACCAGTCGGCGTGCATTACTTACAGTTGAACGAGATCTCGGTGATACAAAGCAACAACGGATTGCCGAGCCATTCGGTGGCCGCCGGGAAGTACGCTGGCTTGTTCGGCTCGGTGTACGCGGCTGGCGCGGGTTTCCCCTTGGACAAGCAGCCGATGGCGGCGACTAGTAACGGGCCGCTGCTAGACGGGAAGTCCTCGATTCCATCCGGGTCCATGCTCTTCCAGACGCCGTCGCCGTCGCACTCGCCGGGCACGCCAGGCTCGAACGGAAGCAATCAGAACAACGCGAGCGTACCCTCGTGGACGGGTGACGCTCTTCAGCACCATTTCGACAGGGAACCACCGGCGAGGTCGGACGGCAACTCGACGCCACCCTCGGCGCGGCTCCCGCCACCCCCGGCGCCGAGGGGCGAGGGACTAGCCACGTGAACCTCGAACGGCGACGCGTATCTTCCATCCTCGAGGTTTCACGGTGACTGAACTCCGTCCTGGCCTACTACAAAGAAATGAGAAGAGACGTTCTACGGACTATGCCCGGGCAGTGTTTTCAGTGCATTTTAATAGCCGATGGACTCGGGAGCCGAACGTCCAACGACATATCCTTCCTGAATCCCCGCGAGCAAGAGCAGATACCATGTTCCTATTGTCACACTAGTCTTAAAAGAAACGCGTCCGAGGGGACCGCTCTCTTTGGAGCCCGAGGCGACGCTGGTACCTCTTTTGTAAAAGGGTCAGCCTTCATCGAGGTGGTCGTTCCTCGGAACTCTTCCCCGCGACACGTGCTTTCGCACGAGGGACCGACGTGGCGGACGCGGACGCCTAGACTGAGCCCATTTCGGCCGCAAGACACGTGGCGTCGCGACGCCTCGGCCCTCCATACTCTGACCGTCCATGCGCGACAGTGATGGTCACCTCACTTTTTAGGATTATCTTACGTTATTAATGTAATTCACTCTGCACCGGGTGTCGCGTGTAATCGAACGACCTCGAACTTCGTAACTCGTTCACAATTATTCAACTATTCATTCAAATATTCAAGATATGTCTGCATTTAAAGTATTATTCAATGCAGATTAGGGAGTGTAGTATGTCTGGATTTGACACGGAAGTCGGGGCGGGAAAACTTTAATACAGTACAGTAC